TTCAGTCAAGTTCAAATTATGTTCCAAGGTCCACAAGTCTACTGTTCATTCTCATTTGAGTCCAAGTTCTTATTCTTTTGAGTTCAAATCAGGCCCGTGTACAGTCGTATTTTCACCCGAAATTTCGGTAGCCTCCCGGCGTCCCCCCCGCTTAGGGGAGAACTATGGAAAACTGGGCCTCCCACCATGCTAAAGAAAAGCATGTACGATAGGTGCCCTCATATGAGGACACCGCGGCTATGAAGTCTTTGTCTACACCACACCAGAGAAAGGCGTATATGGGTCTTCGGTACCTGTTACAAGAGAAGAGCAGTTGTTTCCTCGTGAGCGGGTACTTATGAATATCCCGGTCTCGCCGTAGGCGCCGCACCGGGTTTCCATCCCACCACGCTAGAGAAAAACGTGTATATGCGGTTTTCCAGTTCAACACGAATGTCGAAAACAGGATTTTGGAACCGACGGTTTGCTCACCTACCTCGTCGTAGGTGTCGCGTCGGGTTCCCTTCCCACCACGCTAGAGAAAAGCGTGTATGGGCTGTCTGCCGGCCCGACACGAACGTCGAAGTAAGAGGGCACGATTTTGCAAACTTCTTTTTTTTTTGAAATAATAATAATAATAACAATAAATTGTTATAATGATAATGATAATAATAATAATAATAACATTATTATTATTATTAACTGTAATATTATTATTACTACTACTATTATTAATATCCTAAATAATAATAATAACAACTTAAAAAAATCTTGAAGTAAATACCGACATTAGACTCTATAGGAGAGGAAGAAGGTGAGAGAGCAGTTTATCATAATGATGATTCAAATGAAGAACCCATTAGTGATGACAGTGCTGATGACTTATCAGTTCTTATGTGATATATCATTGCTATTTATTTATGAAATTGGAATTATATGTTAATGAAAAGAATACTGGGATTTGGGAAAGTAGAATTTGAGTTGAACTATATTTCATGTTGTCTTATTATTGGGATATTTTGATTTCACTTCATATCTTATGCTTTTTATGTTTTATATTATTCACTCATTAGTATATAAAAAATTTATCATTTTATGTTTACGCAATCTTTTGATTTTGAGGCTTACGCCTCAAAACGCCTTGAGGCTTACGCCTCGCCTCACGAATGAAAAACGCCTCAATACCCAAATACGCAATTTTAAACATTGGCCCTGAGGTTTGTGGGCTAATGCTAGGTCGACGACACGATTCTGATGGCATGGAGCTTCGATCGGGTATAGGATGTAGAAGAGGAAAAGGATTGGATGCTGTAAGGGTCGGGGTAGGAAGAGGAAGAGGATTACAGGGATTAAAGGCTATGTGTGAGACCCTCGGCTGGAGTGGATTTGGGAAGAGAGGTTGATGTCTATGGAAACCTCGGTTGACTTCAGGAGTTCGGCAGGGCTGAGGGGTTGGAATCGGAGATGAGGGATTTCGTAGTGAGGAAGTAGCGAGAGGGAGGAATCGTTTGCTTGAGGTCTGCGGAGAAGCAGCTGAGGCTTCACTTATGTCTCCTTTTAATAAATCGAAAGAGAGCAGGAGTCCACGCGGGAAAGAAGACACGACACGAGCGGCGCCGTTGCAGGATATGGGCGACAGGACTGTAGCGGCTAGAGCAGTGATTTGGGTGAGATTCGGCCAAAGGTAATGATTTTTGCATTTTTTTTACTTCTTTTGTTTGTTTCTGTTTGGCTGTATACTAGAGGTCAACAGCAAATCAGCTAATTGTTGCATCATTTGTTGCCAATCCCCTTGATTATTAGCCATTTTTTTGTTTTCTTAAAAAAACACTCACACCAAGGATTTGCTAACTCGCTCTGATACCAAACTTGATGCAAACAAACTAGAAAGAAAAGTCGAGATAGGAGAATAATAGGACAATTAAAACCAAACTCGATTAAATCTAGAATGCAAACATCCAAACAAACACCAAATCAAACGAAAAGTCAAACAAACAAAACAAAATTATAAAATAAAAATACTATCCTCAGAATAACTGGCAAGCGGTTTCCTCAGATGCAACGAAAAGTATGTAAAATATGATAAGTGCTTAGGGCTTGCAAACCAAAGGTCCACCACAACAATAAGGTCTAACGTCCAACCAAACTCCTCCTGCAAATGTCACCAAATTCTGCCAACAAACAACTCCAATAACTCAAGAAGAAGGATATAAGTAGAGTGGAACTTGCGTATAGAATAAGAGATTAGAAGCCAAGACGAAAATAAAGAGGAGGAAGAGAGGATTGGAACAAGCTCTCAAGCTTTTCCAAGAAAGGAGAAGAAACCTTTAGGTTTTTAGAGAATTTTCTCAAGATAATCAACAACCTCCTCATTACAAATACATCTCTAATTTATAAGAGAGAAGGGGCAGCCAAATAGCCATTACACCTCCATCTAAACCAAACAAAAAAGGCTAGAAATAATCCCATAACAGCACCCGAAAAGACATCACAGAGAACCGGGTAAAAGCAGCCACGGGAAGGAGCAGTAAACAATCACGGGAAACAACACCAGGGAGAAACCGAAGGGACACAAAAAAAGGGAAAAGGCAAGGTTCCAACTCCACATAATGGCTTTCAAGTGCAATGAATCCTCCAAATAATGAGCTAAAACATCAGCTCAAGCAATAATGAGCTGGAATCAAGTAGCTCCCAAAAATTCAGCCATAAACCAAAGCAGCCAAGGCCCAACCCTGGGGCAGCCAAGGCCCAACCCGAGAGGCAACAAGCAGCCCAAAGACCAAAAGAACCCAAGAAGCTAGCACACCCAAGGTTTGTCTTGCCCAAGCACATCTTACTCATGATCATTTGATGTTTTCCATCATAGGATAATATAAAAAAACTAAACAAACATTATAATATTCAAATTACAATAAAACAAAAATAAACTGAAATAATGCATGCATCAATTCTACGGTTGTTTTGGAGTTTTGTAGATTTAGTATTGCGCACGAATTTTTGGTGTTATGATCATCTCTATGATGCACCAACACTTCTCCTCAAAGAGGCGTGCAGTGTCCGACACCGTTTCCGACACGACACTCGTCCGACACTCCTCCGACACATGTCGGACACACCAAAAACGTGTCCGATTAAAAAATATTAAATGCAAATTGGACACCCGTGTCCAACACGCGTATCTTAAATATTTTATGAATTTTTTTAAATATAATTTCGTGTCCAACACGCATAACTAAATTTCTTATTTCCTATCCACAACACCAAATCAACGTTCGCACTTAATTCCCTATCATCGAATATTCTCATTTTCATTTCTTTTTGGTACCGCTAGGTACCGCTCAGTACATGCTAGGTACCGCTAGGTACATGCGCGGTACCGCTCGGTACATGCTCGTAACCGCTCGATATCTTTTCATACAAATAACTTACGAATTTTAAAAACAAGCAGAACTTCAAGTATCATCCTCTTCTTGTTATGAGAGAAATTAGAGTACATACTCATTTATTCAATCAATGAAGAGGAATAAAATAAGTCCACAACGAGCTGAAGATTTAGTTTATGTGCATACAAATTTTCGTCTTTTATCAAGGAAAATCCCACTTTATATGACATGTGATAACAAGATGTGAGATGTTGCTGGAGATGGGTTATTTTAAATAAATAACTTAGCTACAGGTAATCATTCTGCTTACAATTTTGTTGCACTAACAAAATTTTTTCCCAGAACAAAAAATGAATATATATAATTTTCTAAATTCTATACACAAACTTCCTACATTAAATCTAATAATAATGGTAATTTTAAATTTCCTACTGTAAATATGAATAACTAATATATAAAATTGTAAACGAATATACAAATTTTCTATAAAAAAGTTGTAATATGACTTAAAACAAGTCTGTAATCTAATAGAAACCATGTTATATGAAAAAGAAACTCAAATTTAAATTATTTTCAAGAAAAAAGTCAAAAATAAGAAAATACTTCAAACTATTTTTTAAAGAGAATCTGATATATGAAATCTCAAATTAATTGAAAATCTTAAAAAAGATGAGATTTACCCTTAAATCCTTGAAGAAATGAAAGAAATTTCTGTAGAACCTAACTAGAATGATCCAGGCTTTTGGAGCAGGAAAAAATGGCAGAAGGTAGGCTGCTCTGTTTTGTTTGCATTAAATGGAGAAGAAAGGGGCCATTGATTACGGCAGAAATTTCTACCGGTTTTAGTAAAACTTTTCAATGGAAATTTAATAACCGGCAAAATTTTTGACGAAAATTTCCATCGGAAATTACGGCGGCAAGTACATTGGTATTATATAATTTTTTTCTATCAAAATTTCACTGGAAACATTGCTGGAATTTCTAACTGTTATCGTAAATAAGCATTTTTTCAGTAGCGTAACAATTCAACCAACTGCTCCAATTGGATAAAAAAAAACCAACAACAATTCAAAGCTTCCAGAATCATAGCTCCAAGATCCCACGGGCCAATCAGCCAGATATGAAATTTCCACTGCCAAAGCCATCCAATTACAACCGCTCAAGGAAAGAAAATCACAGTTTCAGTCCATAAAATCTATATATGGACAAATAGATAATGCCAAAGCGCCATGGCCAAGCAATTCTCCATCAAACGCTCAACCAGAATGAATGAAAAATGGAGCTTTTTAAAACTAATAACAAGTAGTATGAGTAAGGCTGCTGTTGCTGATGATGACATTTTCTACCTGTTGTGCTGATGCTATATGTTTGACTCTGTTGACATAGATTTTCCATGAGAATACCTTTTGTTTTCAAGGCTTCGCATTTTTTAACCCTGTCATACATATTGCAATATAGTTCACTAATGTTTATTATTATTTTAAATGTTTTTTAATATAAATACTAATTATTTAGGCATTTCTATTAGATCTGAAAAGCCAATTGAATGAGCTTGTTTCTTTTTTACATTATTTTCATTTAATACTGTAGATATCATTGAATTGCTTATTTGTAACATATATTTCATGGTTTTAATAGGAAATCACTGGTGGAATGGGTGTTGATATTGCTGTAGAAGCATTGGGAAAACCATTAACTTTTATGCAATGCACAAAAGCTGTGCGAGATGGTGGCAAAGCAGTTATCATAGGGCTTGCTCCAACCAATGCATTGGGGGAGATTGAATTGACTCGCCTAGTCCGCAGACAGGTAACCATTAGCTCCCGTAAAATGATTTTTAACTGCTATTTCAGTATGCCTTAAGATAAATTATTATTCAGCAGATGTTGTTTGTATCCCTTGTATTTATATAGTATATTATTTGGGTGTTGAAGAAATTAGAGAGAATGATACTCAAACCGGTTTACTTTTTCAATTCCTTATGATTTCCTTCTGCTTGTTCACCAATAACCTCACATAGCCTTAGTAAACTGGATATTTTTAAGTTTAAGTCAAGCAATTATTTTTTTCATTTCGTCCTTGATAATGTTAGACTTAGAGTAAACTACATATATTGGTTTCATGTGTGACACGAGTCAACATCTGATTGGATTTGCTTTTCTGAGCTCATGTAAACATTTGAATGGGACTCCAAATCCGGTCCATTGACAGAAGAATTTACAATTATAATATATAGTCTTGCTAATGCATAACTTGTTAAATGTGTTTGCATGCTGTGTGTTTGTAAATATGCATATATGAAGAGCGAGTCTTAAGGGTTCTAATCAGACAACTCGGAAAGCTTGCTTTCCATATCAATTTTATTTTACAATCATTTTGTTTTCAAACTTTGAATCTATAAAATCTCCATTAATATTCAACACCATTAAAATTAGTTAGGGGCAAAATTTTATAACATTGACAATCATTCGGTTGATCGGGCACATCAAGAATTTCTATGAATGATCGTGCTGATATTGCAATCCAATATCCTTTATCCTTTTTCTTTTTTGAAATGAATGAATTTTGTGTGGATACCTAACTTTTTGAATGTATTGATATGTTCAATGATTTTGATTTTCAAAAATGTTCGATCAATGTGTTGTTTCTCTTCATTCTAGATTTTTTATTTAGCTATCCTTAATTCAGAGCTGGTAATGCGGACATCTACTGAGTCTTCCCAATTCTTCTGCAACTTAGCTTAAGTTTTTGTTGGGAGTTCGACGGTGGTTTTGGAGTTTTGTAGATTGAGTATTGCGCACGAATTTTTGGTGTTATGATCATCTAGATCTCAGTTCTAGTACGGTATTGTGTTGGAGGATTAGGTTGGTGCGACATTGTGTGCTGATGTGTTTTGCGATCTACTCATTGCCCGACTTCTAGCAGGTGGAAATTTTGGAAGTTGCAACATTTTGGCTAGACCTTACGTGATCATGTTGTCAATATATATATATATAAAATTTATAATTGAAACCTTTAGACATTAAGGCATCATGCATTGGATATGTTTTCGAAGTTTAAAGTTTTTTTTTTAGGCTAGCATAAAATGTCATGCTCCATTTCGACTACTCTTAGTCAAGCACAATACATGAAAGCGGCAGAAAACCCAATCAAGCACATTTTATTGCAACACTGATTGTCTCTGAGCAAATAGGATCGAGTGGGTAAAAGATGTCTGCCTAGATTATCACAAAATATACACTACTCTCTTTTTATTCCATCCAACATATCCATCATAATTATTGTGGAAGGATTATGAGAGTCAGAAGTCAAGCACTCTTGGTAAAGATTCTTGAGCATATAAATTTTAACCATTGAATTGATCCTCTCATGATCCTTAGATTGCAATCCATTTGCCTCATCTTACCTACCTAGCATGTAGCCCCTCTTTGATAATTTTTGCTTGTAAATAGCTTTGATTTAGTTTTATTATAAAAGTTTTAGAAAAGTCTATAAATAATTCCACATTTTGTACAAAATCAAGTAATAAATTTTAAGAACAACATCAAGCCTTTATCCCACTATGTGAGGACGGCTGCATGAATCCTTTCTACTTTTCTATACGGTATCAAAGCGAGTGTACAGTTTTTATTTTCCAATATTTGTTCTTCTTTCTCTAACTTCTTGTCGAGACTTTTTCACTTCATTATGATTGATTTTTTTTCTTTTTAAATGCTCTTCCAAGGAGTCAACCAGCATGAATGATAAAAATTATATTAAAGATGAATTCTAGGGGCTAGCTTCACATTCATCTAAATGGGAGAAATTATTTGAAATTGTCACATTTCTAAAAAAACATGAAAATTTTATGATTTTTTTTATCCTCCTAATCTAAAGATAAAAATTTATACTTTGAGATGAAGCAAATTCCATTATTTTGGCATAGCTGTGAAATATTATGATGATGCTTGAATTCAGTGGGCAATATATGCACCTCTCTATTGCAAACAAAGTTTAAGACATCATCAAACAAACACACTCAAAAGTGAAAGATATTGGCAAGATCTATGAGATCAAAACTGAGATTTCAATAACTAAGAAACGTAACATTCCTATTATTGAGTACTTAATGCAAAGAAGCTTTATTTGATTAAAATAAATTATTACCAAGTTGAAGTGGAGGAAATGCATCGGGCTTGTTGTGTGATTGAAAAATCCCTCCTCAAACTTCAGAGAAAATTTTATAAGATCACGGTGAGATTTGCTATGCTTTATAGTGCATAATGTTGTCAATTAAAAGAGAAGCATAATATTAAGTTAAGTGTTACAGAGATGAGGATGCTCAAGTGGTTGATTGGCTTTACGCTTAGAGATAATATACAAAATGAGCATATAAGTGAAAGGTTTGAAAGGTTGGAGTAGCTCCAATGGAAGATAAGATTAGAGAGAGTCGTCTTAAATGGTTTGCTCGCATAGAATTGTAGCCTTTCAATGGCCCGGTTTGGTGGGTAGATGTATTAGATTTGGCTTATATTAAAAAAGGTAGAGGTAGACCTAAAAAGTCTTAGAAAATATTAGAAATGACCTTTCTATGGTATTTTATGATACATATTATATTGTATGAGGATGCAAGCAATTCATGTGATTGAGAGCTATGAATCTAGGAGCGAATCAAAAATCAAATAAATGAAAATATTGTATTATATATATAAGACATTTTTCTCCTAAAAATTGGTTAAATTTACTTATCATATTATACAATCCTTAAATCATATTGTACGATTCGGTCAAGTTTTTTAATAAATACCCCTTTAAGGTTTCTAATCAAGCATCCTTATAGAGATACAGTTTTAAAAAGCTCTAAAAGGTGAATTTGAGATTAGACGGTTGTTGTAATATGAGGGTTTTGGAGAGAGAATTCTATTTGCTACTTCTTTATTTTTTAGATTTTTAACCATTCAAACAATTTTTTATTTTTTGTGAGATTTTGTAACATTAGTTTCTTCCCCCAAATAAATCCTTAATCTCTGATTTGGGAGTTGAATTTCTAATCTAAGAGATTGATATACTTTGTTTGTAAAAGATCTGTTGCTGTTGTTGAGATTTTTTCATGTATCATATAATCTAATTGGTGGCGTAGGGTAGCCATGATTTATATTTTTTTTTTATTTATTTTTTTTTTTTTTTTTTTGGGGGGGGGGGGATTCGGCCCCGGCCTTCATCCGCGTTGCTTTTTCTTTGGGAGAGTTTTAACGGAATTATGTTCCGGAGTAAATTTTGGGAAGACAGATGGGTTTGTAGATAAGACACTACCCAGAGATTTCGCCCTCATTTTGCGAGGACTTTTTGATCTGAGTTCTAGTTTCCTATAGGCGCAAACCCCTATAGTTGATTACCCTTCTCGGTGATGAGAGAAGAACTTTCGATTAAGGCTAGTCATCAATCAGATACGTATAAATACACATGTTATTTGGCATCGTAGCAGCATGAGTTTGGAGTTTGAAGGGTTGATGTTGGAAGTTTGGGTATCTGAAAATTCGATATTTAAAATTTGAAATTTTACCATCTTACACTTAAAGCGGATGGTGGGGGAATAGATGATGGACCCGATCAAGATCCCATAGTTCCATCCTCCTGGGCCATTGTGTTCCCTGGTCTACTTAGTCAGACGAGGTAGTCAACCCAACATGACAGAATGATCCTTGTCGGCTGCCATAAGTTGCTTCATCCAAGGGGACCTTGTGAACCTGAGGTGAATGTTTATCTAAGAAGACAAATTTGAATCCACCTTAGCTAACAAAGGGCTTTGTGCCCTATCAATTATATTCTATTGATTCATATATCAAGGATTTGATGCCACTAAGGAACATATTGGCTCTGGCCATAATCGGTATTTCGTGGTGCCATTTGGCGGCAAAACCACTTGGTTCAGAGGGTGTCGGGTCATAACCGTTTATCCTGCGGTGCCATTTGGGAGCAAAATCATTGGTTAGATGACACGTACTACGTCCTTACTAGCAAGAGATTATTTGAGAATGGATCCTAGTGATATTTTCGACTAGGCATTAGCTCTATGTGAGTTAACGTAAATTTAAATTTGTCCACCTCGGTAAGCTGTTATGGAGGGTGGATGAATTTTACTTTAAATTGTTGGATGGTTGGATTCCGTTTTAAATGTCTTGGAGTTTGGAATTTTGGAGATTTTGAGTTTCATGGGTATTTGGGAAGCATTTTAAACATCTTGAATTAACACCTCCGGTTGAGATCTACATTCAACACGGCCATCATCGAGGTGTGAGGGGTTATTTCCCTTTGTTGATTGAACCCTGTCGACTCCGTCAGTTTGCTGACATAGAATCGGGTTCGTCATAGGCTTTGTGCCATTATTGGTGAATTTTCTTTGTTAAAGGCCTTCAAGGCCTAATATGAATGTATTAATTAAATATTTCGGTCGACCTCACGATCGCATATTTATTTAAGGATTCGAGCCTTGTCGATTCATATCTACCCGCACAGGAGGATCTGGCTCGAACTTGGGCTTATTTATTGACCCGCACAGCATCCCTAGTCGTCACGTGTGTATCCATAACACGCTCGCCCGGGCTCATGTGGGTTTTGTGATTGCATTTACCCATTTTGTGTACCTATGTGTATACAAATTACGGTGCATGTGCGAGGGCATTTTGGACATTTGAAGGCTCTTCTACGGCATCTCGTAGAAGTTTTCATTTTTTGCATTTCACGCTACACTTGCTTGTAGATTGGGCCACTGCTTGCATTTTCAGTCTTCTACGAGCAAATTGCTTTGAACGCAGATCTTCTAGCACCATCTACAAGTATTTGCGTTGACTACGAATCTTCCATATTTGCCTGTAGATAGCACATTGTGTTCATGACAGATCTCCTACAACGATCCTTAGGAGCTCGCATCTATTATAGTCTTTCTGTACTTGCCCGCAGATGAAGTGTTGAATGTATGCTTATGTCTACAGTGGATCAATCACATTTACAATATATCTATCAATGTTGCTTGCGAGTGAATTGCAACCTCTCTACACACTGATTACAAGCACCTCGTAGCATTTAGTGTGCACTGCTTGTATATGTTTTTGAAGGAAATATACTACATTCATTGTCTACCGTTGGTTGTCACCAGTAAGTGTACTATTATGTATGCCACAGTTCTTCCATTGTCATTATCTGCAGGAGTTTGGTGTGCTTGCATGTATTACAGATGGGCAGCACACCAATTTCTTCATACACATTTGTCAATGATCTCTGATATCCACTTGCATGCTCCCCCATTTTTGCTTATGGATGAGAACATCATATACACTGCAAGATTTCAGTCATCAACTCCTAATCTTTTAGGTTGGTGGTTGTGTATATGAAGAACTCCTTTACTTTTATTTGTGGATGAAGCGATGTGTTCTTTATGAATCTTCTAGCGCCATAAGTGTTTCTATTAATTACAGCTCTTTTAATGTTATTTGCAAGTGTATTGCATTTCTTGTATACGACCGCTAGCTAGTTGTCATGTTTATTGAAAGTGAAAGAGCCCATCAAGTCATTTTTGTTGATAGTTTGCATCGTTGCTAGCTATCATCTGGAGGTAGACCATTGTATAAATTAGGAGTCTTGTATGATGAATTTCCTTGATGACAATTACATTCTAATTGGAGTATCAAATCCACTAAAAATCCCATGTTGTTAATCATGAATATGTTGCTACATGTCAATTTGTTCCCTCTTGATGATTGCTTGCAAGTTCCCTTTTTAAGCTTTAGTTATTACGAGCATCGTGTTCATTCATCGGTATTCATTTGAGTATATCAGGAATTGATTGTCGTCCTTATTTGCTTGCAAATAGACTCCACTTGCAAATTCTTTATCCTTGAAGGTGGTTTGTCATACGCATGATAAACTTGATATCATGTCTTTACCCCACTTGAGATGATCATTACAAATCTATTATTGTTATCCAAAGAGAGATTTCATGTTAAAGCTTATACATGAATCCTTTGCTTGTTTGCATAAGGTCTTAAATGATTCAAATTAAGCATTCTAATTGAAATGACAACTCCGTTGTTATCATTCAAGACAAATTCTTTATGTTTATTTGTGGTCTTTTGTATTTGTTTAAGTTCAAATTTACTTCGTTTAGTGTCAAGCTCGAACTACTTGGGCTTAAATTCTTTTGCATCAAGTCCCCTTCTTTATTGATTGATGTTCATTCAGGTGTCTTCCACAAGTTCATTTAATATTTGCTTGTTCATTAGAATGATCTAGGCCTTTAGTTAACATTTGCACTGATGTGATTGTATGTTTGCCAAATTAAAATTCAATTCCTTGTGATCCAAATTGAGTTCTCTCTATCACTTTCAAGTTCAAGCTCCTTGTAGTTCAAGTCAAATTTAAAGAAAGTCCTCCATTGTTACTTGATTGAGTTTAGTACAAGTTCAGTTTGAGTCAAGTTCTTTGTTCTGTTGATAAGTCCAGTTCATGCTCGAGTTTCTTGTGGTCTTCTTGAGTTCAAACTCGATTCAAGTTTAAGTCTTTCGTGGTTCATTTAGGTTCTAGTTTAGGTTCAAGTTAAGTTCATTTCATATTCAAATCAGGTTCAAGTGTCCCCTGTTAATTTCTCCAAGTCCTTCTGTTTCTCAGGCGAAATTTCGACAGTCTCTCGGCGTCTCCCCCATTTAGGGGAAAAACCAAGAGGCAGCCTTCTCCCCATGCTACATGAGCGCTTCAGGTAGGTGTCGGTGACACCACGGCGGCATTTTCTTCAATCCCCATTACGCTACATGAGCGCTTAGGAGTCTCTGAGCACCTGTTGAAAAGAAAACATAGTCATTTCCCCACGTATGGGTACTTAATTTTTGTCCCCTTCATGCTACATGAGCGTTATGGGGATTACCCACCTCGTTGCAAGTGTCGCACCGGTTTCCTTCCCCCCGTGCTACGTGAGCACATAGGGAGGTTTGCCGCCTCTACGCAAGTGCAAGTGCGAGGTTTTTAAGTTAGAAATTTTTATACCTTTATGTAGGGGTGACGACGATGATGTTGGAGTACACAAAAATCAACACTCTTCTTTTTCTTCACTTTGTCCTATATATATATATATATATATATATAGAGAGAGAGAGAGAGAGAGAGAGAGAGAGAGCCTCTGTTTTATTTGGGTTCGGGTTGTATAGGGTTAGTTAGGTTTGGGTTAGCTATAACTGGGAGCTTGGTCGGCTACAAGCAGAGGGGCGACGACAGTGGCTATATAGGATCGTGGGATTGGCCTGAGAAGAGATCGGTCTAGCAAGGTCTTGGAGGGTCAAAGGCTAGACAATGGTGTTTGTCTAGGATAGAGGTCGGAAGGCTTGCAGGAAAGGACTAGGGCAGGAGGTCGGCTAGGGGAGGTTTGGCCGCAGGAGGTATTATCGTCGGTAGGGCTTTCATTTGTGGGTAAGTGTCGGATGGGAGCTCTGGCGTCGGCATGAGGCAGGGCCTTCAACTTCTCTCTCTCTCTCTCTCTCTCTCTCTCTACTGACCAAATTTTGGCTGGGAATGGGGATTGACGTTGAGTAGAGACCCTCGATCAAGTCGGAAGAGGGAAAGGCAATGGGTTTATTGCAGGTATTGAGAATGGAGGTTGCGGCAGTTGGAGTCGAAGGGAGATGCGAGGAAATGGGAGGAGCAGTGAGGTGTTGATTTCAGCTGTCTGGGAGGAAGATGCTGGATGAAGAGGAGCCCAACGTTCTCATTTCTGTCTCGTTTTAACGACGCGAATCAGACGACGATTGAGGCGAGTGCACAGGATTTACGGGATGCGAACAGAGATGTTGATGTAGATACGAGGTTTCCGGGATTTCTGGCGGGATTTGCGGGGGATTCGACGAATCATAGCAGGTCTGATTTTATCTTAATTTTGATTTTTTTTTAACTGAATGGGTATACGAGCAAAACCCTAAATTTTGAGCTGTTGCACATCATATGGTGGTGTAATCTAGCTCATTACTAATAAGCAAACATTTGCCTTTTCTATTCTATACACTAGTATGGTAGCTTATTTTGTTTGTCACTTTATAAATTTTTTGTATGAAGAGACGCTGTAATGCTCCATCTTATCAACAAAAATAACTTCTAAATCAGTTAACTGTGAATTGGATGCTACCTCTGAACTTGAACTATAACCATGGATTGGCAAAGAAAGGTTAAGGAGCGAATTTTGAAGGCCAATAAATTACTATATCATTATCTCATACCACATCATTGATCCTGTACACAACTACTACCGTACCTATGGAATCGTTTTGTGGAAATTTTCCAGAAGTAATTTGATCCACAAACTGCTGAAGACTGTAAGTAATATTCCTTGTCAAATGCTTGGTATGCAACTCCTTGGTTGAAGTACTCCAAGAAAGCCTAGAACACTATAAAAAAATTGGGCCTATATGTGAACTTAAGCCTCAACTGTATCGTTAGTGCCTCATGATTTTGATGCGTATTTGAGAAGTTACATAAAAATTACTGTTCTTACTACTGTTTGCACGTCCCTGTGATTCATGATATGTAGTTAAATGAATATCCAGCCTTAATTAAGTACTTAAGAGGTTCCTTCTTATCACCTTTTCAGAATAGAAGTAAAAAAGAATGCTATTTCTCAATCTGCAAGCACTTTTTTAGCCCTCCAGATTAATTTAAAAGGGCATAAATCCGCCATTACCATTTCATTTATTTTCTTTCCAAGCTAGTGGACTTTTAACCAAAACAATTAGATCATCATGTTAGCATATTTCTATTCTTTGCTAGAGAATGTTCATCATTATCTTTGTCGTCCTCATCATCAACATCATCATCATTCAACATCATCATCATTCGTAGATGATGTTATAATTGAATTATTTCTTATTATACATTCCTAGTTTGTGTGGTCTTCCTTGCTTATTTGGCGTTTCATCAAATGGTACTAGTCTGGGTGACTAAGGCTTTGTTTGGGACAGCTTTCGTACTGCTTCCTTAAATGACTTTTTACTATAAAATTTTTAATTCAAAAATTTTTTGTACTAGAATGTTATTTTAAAAAGCAACAACAAAGCTCTCCCAAACGAAGCCTAAGCTTTTTCACTGCATCTTAAAGCAGTTTTTTAGTACAAAAAATTAAAATTTTTGTATTAGAGAGCCGCTTTATGAAGCAGTAAAAAAATAATCCAAAACGAAACCTAAGTTCATCAAACAAGTCTTTTGGTTAAGATCATAACGTTCATATTCTACATGTCAGCCATGGAAGTATTGGTGCCTAAGAAGGAAATATTACTACATTTCTCTTCTAAATATATCTATAGTATGCAAGTTTTTCTTGTTCCTATTGCGAGTTTGTTCATCCATTTGTTTTCTAGCAAAATAAAAGAGAGCTTCTGATATTGATACAGATCAAAATTATTGGTTCATATGGCGCAAGAGCAAGACAGGATCTTCCTCAGGTCGTCAAGCTTGCTGAGACCGGCATATTCAGCCTTCAAAATACTGTTACAAGAAAGTGCAGATTTGAAGAAGCCAACCAAGTCTATAAAGATCTTGACGATGGAAAGATTGTCGGCCGAGCCGTCATTGAAATAACCGAGTAATTGGAATCTATTTGATCTGGAAATACTGTTATGTGGACTTAGCAAGGCTTGAATTTTATTCAAATCTTTTTTGAATAGGGTTCAAATAAGGTGCGAACATGATCAAAATCTTGTTGGAAAAAGGTTCAAACCTTAGTCAACTATGATTTTAACTAAATTTAATTATGATAGATACAATAAAGTGTGTTCCAACAATTTTAACATCACATATTATAATGCATCAAAATTTTGAAGTAAACACAATATGGTGTAACTTAGCAGTTATAATATCATAGAAAGCTGTGTCACAACTATTATATAGCAGATTATAAGATAAATACAATCAACAGTGATAACATAGTCCAGTTCAATCCAATTGCTATATAACATGTTAGAATGTTAAGCATTACATCTAAAATAACTTGGAGTTTTTTAAATTTACAAAAATTTATATGTTTGTGTTAAATTATAACTTATATGAATTTCATGATTCACATACAATGTATATATTTGAAATTTGAAATGATTTGTTAAATTTTAAATTTTTATTTGGTGGCGCCGCACTTCTATGTGCTCGATCGCTACATCATTATGAGTACTAGGGTGGCATAGTAGTGTTGAGAGTTAGCGCAACGACACTCACTTCTCTGTTTTGAGGAACTGTTGAAAGTGTAGTGATGTTGTGCATTTGTATCACAGTGGATAAGGGTTGGGTCAAATTTAAGCGGTTCTCTCTATTAGTCCTGCAATGCTGGGAAACAATGTATTGCGGTGCTAATTAAAATATTTTTATATATATATAAGTTGTTCGTATTTAATTTTATTTTCTATTTACTAGGAGAGCGAGTGAGAGAGCTCTAGAGAAAATAAAGGAGAGGAAGACAGAAAGGAAGAGATTTAGAGGCAGTAGAGTTGAATTTGATCATAGGGTTGTTATAGAAGTTGTTCTTCTTGTGATAGGTTATTGAAAGTTTACTTTAGTTTTCAATTTAAGGTTTGGTTGGTTGTAAAATTAAGGAAAAATAATTTTTGGGTTTTTGAATAACGTTTTACAGTAAAATTTTAAGTATTTCATAAAATACCTTTATTTGATTCCATTGACAGGAATTTTATAGAATTTCATCAAGTATTTTTAATTCAAGAAAAGTTTGTGCATATTTAATAATTTAGTGAATGCTTAGATGTAACAAGAATCACACTTTACAATGATATTGAAATTTATAATTTATGGTGATTTCATAACATAATTATCATGTGAAAATGCCAGTGCTTTAATATAATAGTAAATATTGTTTAAGTGCTTCATTTATAAAGTTGTAAGTATTGTTATTTCATGATATGGATCTAAATCATTTATGTGTATTCATATCATTGCTTTGTACATAACATGGTGAAAAAGAGATTGGAGGGGAATTGAAGGCAATATATGTAAGATGATTTGGTCATGCGAAACTATTATCCTCCATTTATCATTGTGATAGATGAGAGATAAATGTGGAGTTATAGCTTATTTTTCCTCCATATGTATGTATGACGGATGAGAGATGAATATAAAATTATTTCATCCATTTTTCTTTGTGATAGATGAGAGATGAATTTGGAGTTGTAGACAGGCTTATCCACCATATATGTGTGTGATAGATGAGAGATAAATGTGGAGCTATAAGTAGGCATGTGAAAGAAGATAAAGGAATTGGGATAATTAGCTTGTTTTCGTACAGTACACCCATGACTATTTGTGCAGGTTCCATTCATAGGTGTGTCTTACATGTTACATCTAGGTCAAGCGGAAGGAATTCTCTCTCCTCTCTCAGAACAATCACTTTGAGGGACTCACTCAAGAGCTAGGAATGAGCTTAACATTGAAGGAAAATAGACCATCTTCGACCATCACATCCAGGCAGTCAGCCTCCTCGAAGAGGGAGACCTCAAAAGTTCCTCTCTCTTAGTCAGACATATATTTATCCATGCTAGCTAAACTCAAGTTCCCCAAGATAAACATGTCAACAATTATGCAAACAAAATCTATTTCTCCTATAAGACTTCCTCACAATTGGATCAACCTCAAGACTGCATCAAGACACTACTCGCCACTTTCGCCTCAATGGGGCGACCTTAGACTTGTTTCTTTCTATACGTCATCTTGACCTCCTGACTGCATCCATATACTACTCACCCCTTTCACTTTAACATGGAAACATCAAATAGCTTCCTTACTAATATCGATTTGATCCGTGAGTTCATCCTACTCGCATCCCCTCTTATAGTAATCACTATTCATTTTGAATTAGATGACCGAGCTACAAACGAAGATAGATGTGTGGGGTCTGAAAATTTGGCCCTGACCTCCCCGCATTGCTTTTTCGGGGGATTTTTAATGAATTAAGTTTCGATCCGAGTTCTGATGGGTTTGTAGATAAGACACTACCCAGATATTTCTGATTTCATTTTGTAAGGACTTCAAGATCCGAGTTCTGATTTCCTGTAGGCACAAGCCAGCATATAGTAGTAACACGGGTTTTGGGTATTTGAAAAGTTTGATGTTTAAAATTAAAATTTCACCATCTTGCACTTAAAGCAGATGGTGAGGGAGTGATGATAACCCAATCAAGATCCCATGTTTCCATCATCCCAGGCCTTTATGGTCACTGGTCTACTTAGTTAGAGGAGGTAGTCGGCCCAACCTAACAGAAATAGCATTGTCAGCAGCCATAGGTTGTGTCGTCCAAGGTTACCTTGTAGACTTGAGATGGACGTTTGTCTAAGGGATTAAATTTGAATCCACCTTAGCTGATAGAGAGATTTGTGCCCTATTGATTATATCTTATTAATTCACTTCTTAATGATTTGACGCCATTGGGGAGCATACAGGCGCTAACCATAACCATAATTTAGAGGTGTCATTTGACGGCGAACCACCCAGTTTAGAGGATCTCAGTCATAATTGTTTACCTATAGTGTCCTTTCATGGCAAAACCATAGGTATGGTGTCATATGGCGGTGAAACCAATGGTTAGAGGACATGTGTCACGTCCTTACTAGTAAGAGACATATTGAGAATGAATCTTAATGATATTCTCGATTATACCTTAGCTCTTTATGAGCTGAAGTTGTTTTCAAATTTATCCACCTGGGCAAACTATTGCGGAGGGTGGATGTGTATTTTCTTTAAGTATTTGATGATTTAACTTTAATTTTAAATATCATGAGTTTGGAACTTCTGAAAATTTGAATTTTATGGGTGTTTGGGATAATCTAAAACATATAATCCCCTCCGGTTGAGATAAACATTCAATACGTTCATCATTGGAGTGTTTAGGATCATTTGAAAATATTTGTGTTTTTTGAGGTTTGAGGGCATTTGAAAATATTTGATTCCCTTCGATTGATATAAACATTCAATACGGTCATCATATGTGAATTAATGGGTAGTTGTATTTTATTCATTGGACCTTGTAGACTCTATTTACTGGTCGTTAGAGGATCGGGTCTATAGGATATATGTTTTGTTGATTAATTTTTATTGTCATAGACCTTGAAGGCCTTATATGAACGTATAAAATAGATATTCCGGTCGACACCCTAATCGTATAATTGTTTGATAATTCGATCCGTGTCGACTCCTATTTATCGATATAGAAGGATCGGGCTCGAACTGGGGTTCATGTATTAACCCACACAACATTTCTAAATGTCATGTGTGTACCCATAACACGCTCATTGGGATCCCATACGGGTGTTTGGGGGCAATTTATAATTTTTTTATTGAACCTTGTCAACTCCTATTTACCTATTTAGGAGGATTAGGCTCATATTTATTGACCCATACAACATCCCTTGATGTCACGTGTGTTCCTACAACACGCTCGTCGATGTTCATGAGGGTCATATGATTACACATGCCCTTTTGTGTACCTATATGCATACATATTAAAGTACATGTGCGGGGGCATTTTAAGATGTTCACATGTGATGCAGAGGGGTGTTTAGCTGCATAAATGGCTATTACTACCAGATACATGAGGTTTTATTTTGGGCTTTGTTGACACCTTCTGTCTGCTTGTATGAGCATTATAGATTCGATGGCGTGGCATCATACTCCAGTGGCCCATGGTCTTTCATTACTGATTCTCCGCTTTTGCTTATAGGTGAATTGCGGCATTGTCACCCGATTAGCATGAGATACCTTTTTATTTTTATGTAGACTCCCTTTCTTATTCATCGAGAGGTCTTTTTAAGTCTCGTATATGAATCAATAAGTAGCTCTTCCATTATGCCATCATCATCATTTTCTATTGTTGGCTTAAATAAACAGTCAATCATTTCAACCTTAAATGATTGCATTCTTACTGATGCCCTATACTTTGAAATCAGCGGCTATTGCCTTGAAAATAATCCTTTTCAAGATCTACAGTATTATGAGTTTCTACAAGATGTAGCATACATAGTTAAGTAGTTGACCTCTAAGATAAGTTGAGGTATTTGAGTGCTCTTGTCATTCATAATATCTTCAATAAGAGCAATAGTATGATTGTCATGGAGGTATTGAAGGAATTTGCATTTATTGAAGGAACTTTGAAACACTAGGAAGTTTAGTTTGAATTTGCTCAAAAATCTCTTCTATTCTTACAGGAAGAAGGGTGCCTTCCTTATACAAGGGTCTCTTCGAGGAGTCAACCGATGCTCGTATTTGTCATATACTCTTATATGCTTTTATGTTCATAAGGGTCCTCTACAATGTATCCACTATTATTATCCACAAATGGATCGTATTTATTTACAGGGACTGGTCATATTCAATATGATCTCTTGGAAGTGTTCGTAGAAGAGTCATTGTTTCTGCATCATATCCACCTTTCACTAATCTCAGATGGTATGAGGTACTTATTTGTAGTGACAGGTCTTTCACTATTGATTGTCAGTGTTGTCGTCTTAATCTATAGTCACTATTACTTATATTGGGGATACATGTAGGATACACCTATGTATTTAGCATCTAGATGTTGTTGTTCGCAAGTATAGTGCATTCAACCTCATAAGGACCATTGTGGAAGT